GGCCAAAGCCGAAAGGACGCTCAGTTGTGGATGTGTCTGATGGTGAAAGGAAAGTCCGATGCTGCAAAGAACAATACTGCATAGGAACCTGGAATGTAAGATCTATGAATCAAGGTAAGCTTGACGTGGTCAAAAATGAGATGGCAAGACTGAACATCGATATCCTAGGAATCAGTGAACTAAAGTGGACAGGAATGGGCGAATTTAACTCAGAAGACCATTATATCTACTACTGTGGCCAGGAATCTCGTAGAAAAAATGGTGTGGCCTTTATAGTCAACAAGAGAGTGCAAAAGGCAGTACTGGGATACAATCTCAAAAATGACAGAATGATTTCTGTCCGATTCCAAGGCAAACCATTCAACATCACAGTAATTCAAGTGTATGCCCCAACCACTGATGCAGAAGAGGCTGAAGTGGACCGGTTCTATGAAGACCTACAACACCTCCTAGAACTAACACCAAAAAATGATGTCCTCATCATCATAGGGGACTGGAATGCTAAAGTAGGAAGTGAAAAGGTAACTGGAATAACAGACAAGTTTGGCCTTGGAAAGCAAAATGAAGCAGGGCAAAGGTTAACAGAGTTTTGTCAAGAGAACACACTGGTCATAGCGAACACCCTTTTCCAACAACCTAAGAGGCGACTCTACACATGGACATCACCAGATGGGCAACACCGAAATCAGATTGACTATATAATTTGCAGTCAAAGATGGAGAAGCTCTATCCAGTCAGTAAAAACAAGACCTGGAGCTGACTGTGGTTCAGATCATGAGCTACTCATTGCAAAATTCAGACTTAAACTGAAGAAAATCGGGAAAACCATGAGGCCATTCAGGTTTGACCTAGATCACATCCCTGATGAATATACAGTAGAGGTGAAGAATAGATTCAAGGGTCTGGATTTGATAGATAGAGTGCCTGAAGAACTATGGACGGAGGTTCGTGACATTGTACAGGAGGCAGCAATCACCACCATCCCAAAGAAAAAGAAATGTAAGAAAGCAAAGTGGCTTTCTGATGAGGCTTTACAAATAGCAGAGGAAAGAAGGAAAGCGAAAGGCAAAGGCGAAAAGGAAAGATTTACCCAACTGAACGCAGATTTCCAGAGAACAGCAAGGAGAGATAAGGAGGCCTTCCTGAATGAACAGTGCAAAGTAATAGAAGAAAACAATAGAATGGGAAGGACTAGAGATCTCTTCAAGAAAGTTGGAGAAATCAAGGGAGCGTTCCATGCAAAGCTGGCCATGATAAAGGACAAAAACGGTAGGGACCTAACAGAAGCAGAAGAGATTAGGAAAAGATGGCAAGAATACACAGAAGAACTATACAAGAAAGACCTCGATGTCCTTGACAACCACGACGGTATAATCACTGACCTCGAGCCAGACATCCTGGAATGTGAAGTTAAATGGGCCTTAGAAAGCATTACTAACAACAAAGCTAGTGGAGGTGATGGTATTCCAGCTGAGCTATTCAAAGTCTTAGAAGATGATGCTGTTAAAGTTCTGCACTCCATTTGCCAGCAAATTTGGAAAACGCAACAGTGGCCACAGGATTGGAAAAGGTCAGTATACATTCCAATCCCAAAGAAGGGCAATGCCAAGGAATGTTCAAACTATCGCACAATTGCACTCATATCACACGCTAGCAAGGTCATGCTCAAGATCCTACAAGCTAGGCTTCAACAGTACGTGGATAGAGAACTACCAGAAGTACAAGCTGGGTTTCGAAGAGGTAGAGGAACTAGAGATCAAATTTCCAACATTCGCTGGATTATGGAGAAAGCAAGAGAGTACCAGAAAAATATCTACTTCTGCTTCATTGACTATGCTAAAGCTTTTGACTGTGTGGATCACAACAAACTATGGCAGGTCCTTAAAGAGATGGGAGTACCAGACCACCTCACATGTCTCTTGAGAAACCTGTATAAGGGCCAAGAAGCGACAGTTAGAACCGGATATGGAACAACTGATTGGTTCAGCATAGGAAAAGGAGTACGACAAGGATGTATATTGTCGCCTTGCTTATTTAATATATATGCAGAGTACATCATGCGAAATGCTGGCCTGGATGAATCACAAGCGGGAATTAAGATTGCTGGGGAAAAGATCAACAACCTCAGATATGCAGACGATACCACTCTGATGGCAGAAAGTGAAGAGGACCTCAAGAGCCTCTTGCTCAGGGTAAAAGAGGAGAGCGCAAAAGTGGGCTTGAAGCTCAACATCAAAAAAACTAAGATCATGGCATCCGGCCCCATCACTCCTTGGCAAATAGAAGGGGAAGTCGTGGAAGTAGTGACAGACTTCACGTTCCTGGGATCCCAGATCACCGCAGACTGTGACAGCAGCCATGAAATTAAAAGATGCCTGCTCCTTGGGAGGAAAGCGATGGCGAACCTAAATAGCGTGATAAAAAGTAGAGACATCACCCTGCCAACAAAAGTCCGCATGGTCAAAGCAATGGTATTCCCAGTAGTAATGTATGGCTGCGAGAGTTGGACTATAAGGAAGGCCGAGCGCCGAAGAATAGATTCTTTTGAACTATGGTGCTGGAGAAGACTCTTGAGGGTCCCTTGGATTGCAAGAAGATCAAATCAGTCAATCCTAAAAGAAATCAACCCTGACTGTTCCCTGGAAGGCCAGATAATGAAACTGAAGCTCAAATACTTTGGCCACCAAATGAGAAGGGAGCCCTCACTGGAGAAGACCCTGATGCTGGGAAAGATTGAAGGTCAAAGAAGACGGGGACGGCAAAGGATGAGATGGTTAGACAGTGTCATCGATGCAACGAACATGAAATTGAGCCAACTTCGGAGGACGGCGGAAGACAGGAGGGCCTGGCGTGATCTGGTCCATGGGGTCGCAAAGAGTCGGACTCGACTGTGCGACTGAACAACAACAACAACAAATGTTTCAAAGAGCAAACAGAAAAAAAGGAGAGAGGGGGGGAAAAGAAAACGAAATTATCACAGTCAACCCACATATTTATAAATTAGCTATAACTAAAGATTTTCCAACAGTTTACTATTTCAGAAACAATTTAACCTTAGGTTACTTCAAAAACAGTAAAGAGATATGTTTTCCTCTCCTTATCTGCCCGGTGGCACATCTTATATTTCGGACGTCAAAATAACAATAACAATCTGCTAAATACTATTAATTTTCCCACAGTTATTATTTCAAAAACAATTCAACCTTAGGTCTACTTTTCCTACTACAGTCATTTCTGAAACTATTTTACCAAAAGTTTGCCTTATTTTCTTGGCATCCCAGCACACAGATCTTCAAACACTAAATCAAACTTGATTGGATATGTTGCCTCAGTTCCCAATTCATATAGTAATTTCCCCAGAAATTACCTATTACTTGCTTATTACTTTAGCAACAGTAGTCAATAAACTTTCCTCCCCTTGTCTCATTGATAACATATGGTATATTTCAAACAACAAAATAACAACCACAATCACCTAAATATTAATTATAATTTTCCAGCCGATTATCATTTCACTAGCAATTTAGCCTTAGGTCTGCCTTTCTTAGTAACCTGATCTCATCTTACCTCAATGAACAAATTTATTGTACCTTCTAGGTCTATCATTGCAATTTCTGCTATGGAGGTTTCCTGATTCTCCCCAAGCATCGCCATTTCGCACCTTTTTATTCTAGATCCTTTCCAAGCCGCCGAAACACAATCCAAATTGAGAGAGCTACTCCTTAGTGGGTCAGTTAATAAAGGTCTTGAACAATTCAAAGAGAATATATGTGTACTCACGTTGCAGTCTTCGTTGTATGTTAAACTTATCAAAACAAAAGTTTAAATTGGACATTCACAGCTTCGGCATCATGGCAGACCACGCTGTGCCCTTCTCTGCTCTTGCGTCGAAACAGATCCATCGCAGCCCCTTCACTACTGTTTGGGGGTTGCCCGGTCAAGGTTCCTGCATCCCGACCTCTCTCCAGGAGGTCAGGCGAAGCCCCCAGCTGTCACTAGGACCCGGGGGCTCCAAAAGAGACGAAAAGGTCGGGGTTGGTCGGGAGCCACCCAGCCAGGCACCTGAGGTGCTGCGCCGCTGCCCACCAGAAGGGGAATCAGTTTTGATTGGCAAAAACACACATAGGGAAGGATTAAGAAGAAGAGGAGGAGGAAGAAGAGATTGGATTTATACCCCGCCCTTCACTTGGGAGTCTCAGAGTGGCTTACAATCTCCTTCCCTTCCTCTCCTCACAACAGACACCCTGTGAGGTAGGTGGGACTGAGAGAGCTCTTTTGAAGACTGCTCTTGGAGAACAGCTCTGTGAGAACCTGTGACTGAGCCAAGGTGACACCAGCAGCTGCATGTGGAGGAGTGGGGAATCAAACCCAGTTCTCCCAGATTAGAGTCCACTGCTCTTAACTACTACACCAAACTACTACCCCAAGTCACAGCCCCAATCCAAATCAGAGGTCCCCACAGCTACAACTTACCTTTAACAATGCTAGGAAGATTTTCCCAGTGAATCTAATCTAGTTTGCTTATCATGAGTCCCCTTATTTTATTGATAGCATGATTGTTGAACATATTTTATTTCCTTTGCAAGACACTTTGAGGGGATAACTACAGCACTGACAGGCAGAATACACACAACCACACACGGAGAGAACTAGTGGCTAATTTCTAAAACAAGAAGGACACAGATAAGTAATCCAAAACCATAATTAGTGACTTAAAAGTCCCTCCAAATCTTAGCTCTCCATAGGCTACCTGGGATTCCCTGGTGGCAAAGGAAAAACTTCACATGTTTTCAGTTGTCTAATTTATTATGATTCCACATATTCCAAGGCTGAGTTCTTGGCATTCAGAGTATCTCTGGGAGCTGAGCGCTGGTCAGTCAGGGCTCCAAATTGTGCCCCACCAGAAAGGAGATTAGCGGGAGCTCATTGGAATCTGGATTGGAGCTCCTCATTAAGAAACAGGAGATGGATGGCTAGAGAATCAAATGATCTTTATTTACCTTTGTCAGCTCCTGCGCATTGGCCAGGTTGTCCACAGCAATGGCCAAGAACACATTAAGCAGGGTGTCTAAGGCCGTTAAGGAAAACCACGCAGGTGATTATATCAGCTCCAGGTTCACAGGGTCAGCCCCCATTGCCCTGCTGGAAGAAGGTTACTGCAGATTCCCTGAAGTGGCTAGGGGGAAATCCCATCCTCTGTCTATACCAACGGGAACATAGAATCATGTGGGATGGGTGGATCACAGACAAAACGTCCATGTCACTGCATGTGGAAATTTCCTGTATGACCTCCTAGTTCTATCGTTCAAATGGTACAGATGCAACATGGGGTCTCCCATGGAGAACCGTCAATTGCAAAGCCATGAATCAGAGCATAGGAAATACTGACATTACAATTTCTAAACTTAGGGCAATTCTGCACTGGCTTTTCCCTCCGTTGTTTTATGAAACCCACACTGGAACAGAAATTCCCCTCTGCATTGCATGCTTCTGTCACTTTCTTTGATCATCAGATTTCATGGTACCCTCTACACCGCATGCCGTTTTCGCTTTCTTTGTTCATCAGGTTTTATGGTACCCTCTGCATAGAGTTATGGCCGTTCAGGGGTGACTTTGCAGTCAGTACGGCGTTGCCCAGGAGGTATTTGAATGTGGTTTTGAGCGGCACCTTTTCCTCCCAGTTGAGAAAATCTGTAGCGAACGCCAGATGCAGAATCATACTTAGGAACACTTCCACAATCCCCCCCACCCCCTGAACTCATCTGCTCCCAAACCAGGGAAAAGGCAGTGTGCCAAAGTGCCTGCAGTCCTTTGAACGGGTGGGTGGGTAGGTAATGGTTATATGAGTGAAATGCACAGCAACAGGTGAAATTCGAAGTCAGAATGAAAATCACAGAGGGTGCCGTGTTGGGAGGGAGGGTGTGTGTGTGTGTGTGTGTGTGTGTGTGAGAGAGAGAGAGAGAGAGAGAGAGAGAGAGAGAGAGAGAGAGAGAGAGAGAGAGAGAGAGAGAGAGAGAGAGAGAGAGAGAGAGAGAGAGAGAGAGAGAGAGAGAGAGAGAGAGAGACTCTACCGCTCTCCATGGTGCTGAAATCTGCAAAAGCTGTGATACTAAAACCAGCACTGAGATAAGAGCCACTGAAAGGATACAGTTGCCAAACAGAGTGAGCACAATGAAGTAGATGGATGACCACATCCCTGAGCGGACACCGCCTTGGGAACGAATCCCATTGTACATAACTTCATTCCAGTCTTCGCCTGTCAGGATCTAAACACACAAGCAGTTCATTATAACAATACACTTATTTTATGTAAGGAAAACTGCAACTCTGGGTATGGAGCTCTACTGAGCCACTAACATGATCTTCAGACAAACAAGAAGCAAGCCTCTGCCTTCCGGCCAAAAGAGTTTGGGCACAATACATTTGTCTGGCAAACTTACCTTCAAACTGCCTTGCTTTTAGACAAGAGCAAGAAGGGAAGGAGGAGGAACATCTTTGCCATCTGTTTGGCATCTTTGCTGAGGACTGTTATTCCCTTCCCTGTCTCAGGTACCTCATGAAGCTTAGATATGGCCAGATCTCCCTGGCTCACCAACTGTTTGCTATCTTATGCTTGACCTTGTAGATGCTCCAGCTGCAGTTTTACTCAGCTGGGAAAGTTAACAGCTTTTTGCTTTGCCTGCTTGCTTTGCTCACACGCGCGAGATGTATCCATTGGCTTATGCTTACCGGGGGATGTCTGATTCTACTATAAGTCAGAGGCCCTTGTATAGACGGCCATTCCTGACACAAACTGTACACGTGTCTCTAGTACTGGATTTACCAATAAACAGTTATCTTCTTATGAAGCCCTGTGCGGTGTAACCTGACTAAGGACCCTGACAGGCAGGAGCCAAAAGCCCTTTGGCTCTTAGGCTATGTCCTCAATCAAGCCAGTCAATGAGTTCAGGATTAGCCTGAGATCCACTTGTTTGTTTTGCTTTGTTTGTTGGTTTGTTGAGTACTGCTTTATTTACATACTGCTTTTCCTGCTGTAAGCTAATCTAGATCCCTTTAGGGGAAAGGTGGGATATAAATCCTTAAATACATAAATAAATAAAAACAAATTCCTCATAGTACTGAGTAAATGTTTTCTGCCCAAATTCATTACAAGCCTGGTGCTGAGCAGCTTTGTGCCTGTGCAGTAGTGCTTCTGCTACAAGACCAGGTAGTGCCTTGAAAACAAGTAACAAAATGCATAGCAGCTTGAGGCCCCTGGAGTCATAATCAGTAGTAGGTCTATAAGTGATCTACTATTAGTCAATCATAGAATCATTTGATGATCATTCCCGCTTTGCACCTTCAAATGACTCCTTCAAATAACCCCTGCAATGGACCCGTTACCTGTTTTTTGTGCCTAGGCTCCCAGTAGCATCTACCTGGATTGAAAGAACTGACCACAGTGTTAGCTGGGAGCCACTGAATGCGCACAGAGACATCTAAGTAGTAAGTATCAACTCAAAAACCTCAAATCGGATTTCATTTATTTTATCTATGTATCTTTTAACCACTGGAGGCAGCAGTGGTGGCAGACAAGTAGTGGGGGGGAAGGGGGCAGCAGCTGTAAGGAAGTAGTCTGTAATCATGCTAACAGACTCAACTGAATTTATTTGATGCAGCCAAATAGCTCAGTGCATGGTTAGCTCCAAGAGAACAACTGGCAGCTGACCCCATGAGTCAGACTAGCAGGTTATCATGCATGCATCCCCAGTTAGCAGTCAGTTTTTCATGTGATCCCAGCTGCCTCCTTTCTTCATTCAAAATAAGAGTACATAGCAAGACAACAGGGTGTTGGTCACTGCCCAGCATGGCACAGTTCTTCTTTGGAAGTGTCAGGTGTAAATTAAGAAGTCCATTCTAAATTAGACAGCAGAAGACAAAGAAAGACCTAACAGAGGAACTTAGCTCTGGTTGCTTTCACAATGGTAGATCTCATGTTCAAATGCTGTTCCTGATACTAAAAAAAACCCCTTCTTGACCTTGGGAAACTAGAACATTAGATTCAAGGTTAGGTGGTTGTCTTTTTGCACTTGCATGTTAATTTTCATTTCGCGAAGTGTTTATCTGAACATGGGGAAAGGATTCAAAAATGTGATTCCTTAGTTGTAATCCTTAGCGGAGACCCCATCTGCACATCATCGGGTTCTGCAATATCATTGCGCTAGTCATTTGTGACTAGATTGTCTCGTCTACACAGTGTAGTTATCAATGATTTATAGTAATCATTTACAGTGCAGCAATTGCATACTAGCCAGGGCCGGCTCGAGGTGTTTCTGCGCCCTAGGCAAGGGTGCCTTATGGCGCAGATGCCAACCTCCCGGTGGGGCCTGGAAACTTGGAGACCTCTGGAGCCAGCCACCCTTTTGCTGCTGCCACCACCGCCTCCTCCCCCCCGCCGCCACCAAAGGGGGGGAGGAGGCACAGCTTGGCGCTCCATCCAGGTCCCGGCGCTCTAGGCAAATGCCTAGTTCGCCTAGTGGATGAGCCGGCCCTGATACTAGCCAATTATACCTAGATGCAGTCCGAGTTACACCCTTCACTGAGGTCAATGGGCTTAGCAGGGTGTAACCCTGTTAAGGTTCACACTGATAGTCTAGCAAAAGCTGTATGGAGCATTGTGAGTTCCTGTTTGATGGAGTACCTTCCCTCTAAGGAAGAACTTGGGGAATAGATAGCTGGCAACAACGAAGGGCTTTGAAGAAGTGACAGTGCCCCCAAAACCTTTCTGCTTAAGAAGTGGTCTTCGAGAAAGGCTTCTTTTAAAGGAAATGAAAGGTGGCACCTTGACAGATAAAGAAGACTCAGCAGTTCCAAGAAGAGGAAACAGCTTGCCAGCAGATTCAAAGGAAGGAGTGACAAAAGGCAACACAAGGAGGGTTAAGGTGGGATGAGTGTCCAGACAGAACACAACAGAAGACATGGCACAGAGAGAGGGGGGGGCAAGCAAGCCCAGCCAGCAGATGAGGTATGAATGAAGAGCCTTAAAATAAGACCGCAGGACTTATTTTAGCAGAGGCAATTGGAATTGAGTTATGAGAAGAGAGATGATGGGAGACGAGGTTAGCAAGAAGGTTGCAGCATTTAATTATAGCTAGCATCCATTATTAATATGTGTTTTATAAGCCCGCGGTATATCAAGATCTCAGGACAGGTATCAGTGGCTGCCGCAAACAAGAAAAGCAGACTGAGGTTTTGAAAGAGCTGTATCAAGTGGCTCCCCTGGGCTTGGGTGTGCTCATCCTGTTTTGATCAGGATGCTGTGAAAAGGCCATTAGGGTCACTACTGGCTACAAAACGTCTGTGCGATTAATTAGGCCTGAGGCCTCGAGATCATTGGTTGAAGGACAACCTGGGGGCGGGTGGAGAGGGCAGAACTAAATACTGCACGGACCAAGGAGCAGGAAAGGAAAGCAGGAGCCCTCCTGTGCCACGTCCCCCTTGCATTTCCCTACTCCTGCGGCCCATCACTTGCTTAATTCAACAGGAGGTGGGCGGCACCTTACAGACAAGCAACATTTAGTCCAGCATAAGCGTTCATGACTCAGAGCCTACTGTCTAGGGGTGCCAACTCCAGCTCAGGGATTTCATAGAGATTTGGGCCGGGTGCCTGGGGAGGTTGGCATTTGGGGAGAAGAGGCCACTCGGCATGGACACGGTGCTACAGGGTCTGCCCTCCAAAGCTGCTGCTTTATCCTGGGGCACCAATACCTGCAGTCCAGAGATCACCTGTTATCATGGTAGAACGCCAGACCCCGCTTGGAGGTTGGCAACCTAACCACCGTTGAAGGCATCGGAGTCTCTGCATTTAAGTGAGTTGTAACTCATAAAAGTTTATGATGGCACCTGGCCTGTCGCTATGGTGGGGCTATTGGGGGCTCCGCCCCCTTCCTTAAAGGGCCCCTACTTCTTAAAGCCCCCCCCCCCAGTTCTTCCCAAAAGCTGCCATTATTTTCCATCATGCAAGACTTAAAGGGCCCTCCGGCTGAGTGGTGGGCCTCCTGCTCCCGTGCTGATCAGCGGAAGGGCCCTTTAAATCTTGCAGGAGGGGAGGGAGAGGGGCCGCGTGCCACACTCCCCCCTTCACTATGGCAAATAGCGGCAGCCCCACCAGGAAACGTCTTTGCCTCACAAGCCACAAAATCCTGACTAGGGGCCTGGAGGGCACATTAGTCTGTAAGGTGCTCTTGGACTCCTGTTTAATTTTGGAGACCCCTCTGGAATCAGAGGCTGTCCTGGCAGGGAGAGGCCGGCCAGGGAGAAGTGCAGAAAAGGCAGGGTCATTGACAGACGCCGATGGTGCTGGTGAGCGGACGACCGCAAGCCCAGGCATCCGACTGCAGAGGCGTACCTGGAAAACTGTCATGATGGCTGCAGGGAAGGTGTCGAAGTTTGCGGAAGGAGTCCCATCCATAAAATTAAACCTGGAGGGGGGAAATTGAAATCAGAGTCAAGAGCTGAGACGAGCTTATTCTGATGCAGCCAGCAGATGGTTAATTTCTCTCCCTCTCCCTCCCCAGGACTTTTCTGGCGACTTGTCCCCGTGGTTGTGCATTTTGTACTTGCCCATCGCCATAATTCTGCAATGAGCAGAAACAGTAAAATCTACATTTATCTAAATTCTCTACCTATCATATCCCATTTCTAAAGAGTCAAGGTTTCATATTGTCCCTTGAGGAATAATTTTTATTTATTACATTTATTTATTGAATTTGATTTATTAGGCCGCCCTTCCCTGCAAGGAGGGCTCAGGGCGGCTTACATCAGAAGACCAATTCGATAAATAATAAAATTAAGAACACTTAAAAGCATCAAGAACCTATCAGCATAGTATCCAAGGTGGCGGGGAAAAATTCCAGAGCCCACTGACCCCTTCGGGGGGGACTGGGGATGTGGAGGAGTGGGCGGGGGGGAAGGCTGGGGATATGAGTGTGCCAGACCCCTTGCTGCCCTCAGCCAAAGGAATGAGGGGGAATGAGGGGGGAGAAGAAAATGCCAACAAAAGCCCGGGAGTTCAGATAGGGTAGCCAAGGAGAGCAAAGGGGTGTAGTGTCGTGGTGAAGTGCGCGGACTCTAATCCGGGAGAACCGGGTTTGATTCCCCACTCCTCCATTTGCAGCTGCTGATGTGACCTTGGGCAAGCCATAGTTCTGGCACAGCTGTTCTTGAAAAAGAGCCGTTTCTGTCAAGAGCTCTCTCAGCCCCACCTCCCTCACAGGGTGTCTGTTGTGGGGAGGGGAAGGGAAAGGAATTTGTAAGCCGCTCTGAGACACCTTAGGGTAGTGAAGGGCGGGGTATAAATCCAACCTCTTCTTCTTCTGTTAGAGCCCTGTTTCCTCCACAGCTATGGCCCGAACCAGTGTTCCCTCTAGGCTGAGTGAGTGTGAGCTAGCTCGCAGTTCCGTAGCCTCCGGCTCACACATTTTTGTCTTAGCTCAGGGAGGATGGCTCCAGAGCAAACTAATTTATGCAGCTGCCAAACCGCTCGCTCACAACTCTAATGCCAGTGGCTCACAAAGTAGAATTTTTGCTCACAAGACTCCACAGCTGAGAGGGAGCATTGGCCCAAACCCATCACCATCTTTTTTCTGGGTTTCCAAAATAGTGTCTCTGTACTGCATAAGAGTGAGGACAAGAAACTCTTTTAACAGGCTGAGTTTACAGATCCCCGGGCTTCCCTGTTCTGCACCAGCTAGCGAATTCTGCAGACACAAGTGGTTACGGACAGCTCTGATCTTTTAAGCCCTGTCTCCAGAAATCCATGTATTTAATACTACAGCTTGGAGGAGGGGCAGTAGATGCAGGACAGACAAAGGGAGTCCTTTTTTACTCGACAAGTAATTAAATGATGGGAATGCTGCCAGTGGATGTACTGACGGCCATAAGCATGTGGATTAAACAGATTGATGGAGGGTAGATCCAACTGTGGCCATGAGCCACGATGGCTAAAGGGGATCTCTCTGCACGCAGAGGTAGCAAGCTCTAGACATAAGTGCTAGGAGGCAACATCCGAGGCAGCCTTGGCCTCTGTGTCCCGTTTGTTAGCTCTCCAGGGTAATCAGTTGGCCAGTGTGTGAAATAAGATGCTGGACTTGATGAATCCAGCAGGGCACTTCTTATGTTGTCAACACAATCATAGAATCACAGAGCTGGAAGGGAGGGGCCCCTGCAGGCCATCTAGTCCAACCCCCCTGCTCAGAGCAGGATCAGCCAAGAGCATCCCTGACAAGGGTTTATCCAGCCGCTGCATAAAGACTGCCAGGGAGGGGGAGCTCACCACCTACCCAGGCAGCTGATGCCACTATTGAATGACTCTTACTATAAAAAAAGTTTGGTGTAGTGGTTAAGTGTGCGGACTCTAATCTGGGAGAACTGGGTATGATTCCCCACTCCTCCACTTGCACCTGCTGATGTGACCTTGGGTCAGTCACAAGCTCTGGCACAGCTGTCCTTGAAAAAGAGCCCCACCCACCTCACAGGGTGTCTGTTGTGGGGAGGGGAAGGGAAAGGAGTTTGTAAGCCGCTCTGAGACTCCAAGTGAAGGGCGGGGTATAAATCCAATCTCCTCCTCCTCCTCTTCCTCCTCTATCCAGCCAGTACCTTCCCACCCTTAATTTAAAGGCCGTCAGAGCCTGCATGATTGTAACAAGCAGTCATTTGCCCTTGGGGTCCTTGCAAAGAGGCATTGTCATGAACAAGTGGGGGAAATGTAGGTTATGAATAAGTGTCATCTTCTGGGCATGAAACAGGGGTCACTGGGGTGTGTGTAGGGGGTGGTATTTGTGAATTTCCTGCACTGTGCCGGGGCTGGACTAGATGACCCTGGAGGTCCCTTCCAACTCTACAATCCTAAGATTCTAAAAACTGGCCGTGGAATGGGTCATCAAGTCACAGACAACTTCTGGCGACCTTGTGGAGTTTTCAAGTCAAGAAATGCTCAGGGGTGGTTTGCCGTTGCCTGTCTGCATGTAGCAACCCTGGACTTCCTTGGTGGTCTCCCACCCAAGTACGAACCAGGGCTTAGCTTCCAAGAGCTGATGACTTCGAACTAGCTTGGGTCATCCAGGCAAAACAAAAACTAGCAGGGCATTAACTCAGCTCGAACAGAACCACTCCATGAAATACCCCAATATATTAGCAGAAGCTTCAGAGGCACACACCTTGCTGTCGACTTACCTGCCACCAAACAGCTGCATCCCAAGCAGGGCAAAGACTACAATGAAGAGGAAAAGGAGGAAGAGCAGGCTGATAATGGACTTCATAGAACTCATCAGTGAGACCACCAAATTCCTCAAGGAAGCCCAATACCTGGAAAATCCAGACGTTACTGTAGCATGCTTCCGAAAGCATTGCAAGACTGTTTAAACACGGGCTGGCTTTTGGTAGCCAGAGTTCGGTAGGTGGGACGGGTGTACCGTTATGTGTTTGATTCTGCTCAATGGCTTAAGTGGCGCATTCAGTTAAAGAGCATCCGTGGTTAGGGCTCTAAAGGGGAAGGCGAAGTAGAGCTGCCAGCGCAACAGGGGAGAGCTGCGGCAGAGCCAAAAGAGAGCGGGAACACTCGCTTAGCGGAGGTTCAGGAAAGCACAGTCGCTCCCCGTTTTGTTCTACTCACTTTGTGATTTTGAATATTCTCAGCAGCCGCAAGGCTCGTAGGACACTGATCCCAAAAGAAGTACCCGGCCTGAATATAGCCCAAACCACTTCAAAGATGCTCCCTACTGTGACCTGAGAGATTAGACACACAAAGAAACAGCAAATTAGCAGCGACCAAAAAAATAAAGTATCCCAGAAGACTGGAAGGAAGAAAAACGTCCCCTCCCCTCTGGAAACGCAATGCTCCACACAGTTGCATCATCCCCCTCCCTCCCTTCCATTCACGCTAACATGCATCCATCAGGCTGCGCTGGTAGTCCAGTGCCAGTGAGAGCCAGTGCGGTGTAGTGGTTAGAGTGTCGGACTAGGATCTGGGAGACCCGGGTTCGAATCCCCGCTCTGGCACGGAAGCTGGCTGGGTGACCTTGGGCCTGTCGCACACTCCCAGCCTAACCTACCTCACAGGGCTGTTGCGAGGATCAAACGGAGGAGAATTAGTGGCTTTGGGTTGCCAAAGGGGAGAAAGCCGGGGTATAAATGGAGTAAATAAATATATAGGCTGAAACTGCAGGAGAGGAGGGCGCTTAATGGAAGAACAAAGGCAGGTTTTGTGAGGATCTTCGCTGACCCAAACTCCTTTTCATGAACTGGGAAAGGACACGTAAAACTCAAGGATCTGACACCAAAACACATCTAGAGAAGGACAACGGTGTGTCCCTTCATGTTCAATGGCCCACTGCAAGGAGATTTATCCACAGCCTGACACTGCTGGTGCCCACACCATTCAGGAGATGCTGGCAGTCCATCTTCTGTCCCTGCACCCCTCTTCTAGCTCTCCACACAACTCCCAAAGTGTTACGTGCAAACCCTGCATGAGCCCGCACCATTCTCCCTCTTCCATCGGCGGAGCTACAAGGGCTGAAGGGGAAGAAAGGCTGATTTTTGTCCCCTTCCCCCTCCGTACGGCAGTCCACCAACCTACATGGGCCCTGTGACCCCAGAATGAACTTTACCGGGATTGGACAAATAATGACTAATAACTATTGTATGGCAGTGTGTCTAGTATAGCCAGGAGTTCCTAAGATTGTCTGGCAACAAGATGTTCTAGCTCTTTTAGCGTTATGCAAGGCAAGAGACATTTCAGAGGTGGTTTGCCATCGCCTGCCTCTGCGTCATGCCCCTGGTACTCCTTCAAGATCACCCTTCCAAATACTAGTCAGGGCTGACCCGCTTAGCTTCCGAGATTTGACGAGATCAGGCTTGCCTGGGACTGTGGGAGAGAGGGAAGGAAGAGAACTAAGCAAAGGTCAGAGGCTTCTGTTGATGGATCGAGGGATCCAACCCACCGGCAAGAACGCCGGGTCTCGTCCTGCTCCCTATCTCAACTGTTCACAGCAGAGCGTCAGATAATTCTTCCTTGGTCTCTCCCTTTCTTTGTCTTTTCTCAGCTGCTCCTCCAGAACAGTTTCTCCCTTTTCTCCCTTGCTTGCTAATGAGTAGTCCCCCCCCCCTTTCACACAAGTATTCATCGCCGCTTGGGAAAAAGTCCTTTTGTAATGGGGTCATCTTCCCCCATCCCCTTCTATTAACAAATGCCAGTGGTGTGGACCTCTGTTTCCTCCAGCTCATTGGCTTCCGTCTTCTTCCCGTCCAGGGCAATGATCTGCTCTGGGCTCCTAGACAACTGCTGAAAAAGTGAGCTTGGCTTTTCACCTGGCATGTTTCACCATGACAAGAAGAAAGCACAAGACCAAACCTCTGGTTTCATTCCAATGACTGCATTTCCTCCCATGCATAAATGTAGAACCTGGAGATAACGCAACGATACCATGTCTGCATCCCTGTTTGTCTCCCAGGGGCTTTGCTTACAGCCATGCAGTTTTCTGGAATACCTTAGAGCCCCCCCCTATTATTTGCACCGCTTTCGTGCCACTTCACTGGGTGCCGCTTACCCCACAGTCAAAGCAGTTGAATGAAGAATGAAAGTAAAGGCGTGGGCCCATCCCATACATTTTCAAGGACATCTCCAGGAGGAAGAGACCCAGAAATATAAACTCTGCATAGTCTGAAACAAAGAAAGCCAAATGTGTAAGTTATACTTATCTCATTACATATGCTAACGCATTCAGTCCTCACATATGTGTTCTCAACAAGTACTATACATCCTTAATATTTTAGTGTATTTCTTTTTCAGAAGAGTATATTGGAATACTGAATGTAATGCAAGGAATAATGGGATTTTTGCTGCATCCACCTCAAAAAAGAAAGAAAAAATGCTGTTAAATGACCTCCAGCCTGAGAGAATGGAGAGTATCAGTTTACTTCCCGCAATTAGAAAAGATACCTTTACACATTTATTGCTTTACAGCTGTTGACTGTATAACCTTAGCTTGTTATTTAGTTTGGGGGTCTTCACAGGACCCCTGCCGCGGGGGACAGCGATACGTGTCGCTCCGCCGTCGCCAGAGTGACGCGTAGCATCATATCCTGGCGACGGCGGTGTGACGCGTATCGCTGTCCCCCGCGGCAGGGATCCTGTGAAGACGCACGGATCCCTCGCTGCAGCTCGGCAGCTCTATACCTTGAGTAAAACTTTGCTGGTTTTAAAGGTGCCATTGAACTCTAAATTTGTTTTACTGCTTCAGACTAACATGGCCGACCACTTGGACTTATCTCTTATGCTCCTATAGATAAACATATGGAGCAGAGGTCTATCAGTGGCAATTAGCCATAAAGTATGGTTGGAACATTACATCTGGGGCAGGGATGCTCTGTATTCTTGATGCTTGGGAGGCAACAGTGGGAGGTCTTCTGAAGTTCCGGCCCCGCTGGTGGACCTCCTGATGACACCTGGGTATTGGCCACTGTGTGACACAGAGTGTTGGGCTGGATGGGCCATTGGCCTGATCCAACATGGCTTCTCTTATGTTCTTATGTTCTTATACCTTAGCTTTTGTTAGCCAAATTGCCTTTTGTTATTAATAAAATGTGGGGAATTATGATTGTTAAAATGGCAATAGGCTTATAAGGGAGCGATAACCTTTGTATACAGGAGTCCCGCCTTTTCCATTAAGCCAGAGAATAAACACAGAGACCAAATCTTTAGTGAAATGGTTTCTTTACTGGGAGCTTCACACACTTATACAAAACACAATCACACACTCAACAACGCAGATCTAGGAAAATTAGATAGAAGTGGTACAGAGACATTTGCATGAACAGGCAATGAACTCAATATTGTGGTGATACGTACCTGTCCTGAAGAGGTGAAGCGATCCTACAGCGAAAAGAGGGAGGGAGACTATAAGGCAAAAGGGTCGTATTCTGAACCTGCAGAACACGTGGAGAGGCTCTGGGCAGCACTTAAAACCTAGAGCCTGCGAGATAGAGTGGGGGGTCAGGGAGAGAGGAAGTGAGAGAGAGAGAGCTCGGCTGACCCTGCTCTTTTTATACACAATTTGGACTTGGGGGTGGGCTACACTGGCCACTTTCCCTGTCACGTCCCTAGTCCCCAGGAAGTTGCTTGGCAAAAACTGGTTGCAGGAGGATGGTGGGGCTAATGGTTGGTCAATATTGAGTTCGTTACCACAGACAATGGCACCTTTAGAGGTCAGTAGCAGCAGCAGCAGCAGCAGCAGCTAGGGTCGTTAATGCTGATGGCTTGATGATCGCTTTAGCTGAGGGGCTTGGCAGGCAGGATGAGTCAGCTGGCTAACCCCTTCATGCCCTTTGTTATGCTTGGGCACCATACGTGCAGCATCTGGCAAAGATGGCGGGTGGTGGTGGTGGAAGGAAGCTGCCTGCGTGCTGATGGAAAGGTTTGCTCATGGAGTCTCTGCATAGATTCTCAGGTCTCCTTTGCATGGCACGGCGTCCCTCTACAGCATGCTTTTACTGGCATCTGTGTGCTGTCTGTGGCCAGGGTGCTTGACTCATCTCTGCTGTGTTGCAGGTGAGAGGTGGCAGGTAGCCCGTGGAACCATCCTTGGTCTGGCACATGGCCTCAGGAGGAGGCTTCCCTCATCTGGGTGCGTGTACACAGTCCAGGCAGTTGGCATCAGCTTGTGGTCAGCCTACAGTCCATTTCCCTTGGCACACTCATGGCACAGTCCAACTATAAGTTATGGCTCATAAGTCCATAAGAGCGTTATAAGCTCCTTGCAGGGCAACAAGTCCCCCCCCTCAGGACCTTGGAGACGTTAGGCAAAAGGGTCCCACATCCAAGCGTGAAAGGCACAGCGTCCGATGGTCAGTCCGATGGAGTCATGTCATCTGGAACCGGTGAGGTGGTGATGCTAAAGGTGCCACTGATTACTATACAAGGGGATGGTAAAAAAAAACCCCTATCCTATAAAAATGGCCAAATGGGCTATAGGTAGCTTCATCCTGTCAGACAAATAGGTATGACCCATGTACTTCCTCACCAATGAAAATGCATTAACTGTAGTTAAATTTCACAAACTGCTAATAGAAAACTCATAAAAACTCCTTATTTGTAAGAAAAACTTCAACCGTTAACAAAGGAAACTTATAAGATTCATTATCTGTGGGGGGGGGAACTTAATCACTAATAAAATAAAGCTTAAATAACTAAAAATCACGTGACTGCTAATAAGGTTATTACTATGACATAAATAGAAAGCTAAACATCACATTCGTCCAAAACCGCAAAGAAAAACACATTGAAAAAGTTCATTTTCAAATGCAAAAGTCTTCGGTCCGTCCGTCCCCCAGCGCTCAGGCAGTCTGTTGTGCATATAGGCGCTTACAAGGCTCGTTACAATGGGAGGGAGGCAGCTCTTAACATATTGGTTTGTCTAGTTCTATATGGCACAACTTCAGGAAATAAAGGTAGGTTGATGATTGGCTGGGAAGGAGGTAGGGTTGCCAACTCCAGGTGGGAAATTCCTGGAGATGTGAGGGATGGACCCTGGAGAGGGGGAGGTTTCAGGAGGCTTGGGACCTCAGACAGGTACAAAGCCATAGACTCTACCTTCCAAACCAACCATTCCCTTCTGGGGAACCATCGTTGCCAATCTCCAGGTGAAGGCTGAAGATCACTCAAAATTACAACTGTTCTTTAGGTAGCAGAGATCAGTTCCTCTGGAGAAAATGCTGGACTCAGTGTCATTATACCCTGCTGAGGTCGCCACAGCAAACTGACACTGAGTGTCCAAGGCCGGGGCACCCGCCCAGAGCCTCTTTCTAGAGGCCGTTTTATTTATTTCCACAACGGGCCTTTTTCCTAGTTTAAAAATAAGGGGGGAAGAGAAAAATATTGCCAGAGAACTATTCCAGAGAACCTCTCTCTCTTTTTTTTTGGCTGTCAAATCACAGCTGATTTAAGGTGAGAAAAGGCTGAAAGAGTTGGGTATGTTTAGCCTGGGAAGGAGAAGGCTTATAGGGGACATGATTGCAGTCTTCAAGTATTTGAAGAGTTGTCTTGTAGAAGATGGAGCAGTTCACCCAGCAAGGCGGGATATAAATTGAAAGTAATAAATAAATAAATCTATTCTCTCTTGCTCCGGATTGCAAGACTAGATCTACTGGGTGGAAATTACAAGGGAGTGGTTACTGGCTAAATATCAGGAGAAACTTCCTTGCTGTAAGAGTGGTTGAGCCGTGGAACAGTCTGCCTCGGGAGGGGGTGGATGCTCCTTCGCTGGACTTTTTCAAGCAGAGGCTGGACGACCATCTTTCGGGTATGTTGTAGGGCTATATTTTGGCTATGCTCCTGCAGAGTGCAGGGGGTTGGACTGGATGACCTGCAAGATCCCTTCAAACTCTTCTATGATTCTATGACTCCAGCAAGGGGTTTTCAAGGCAAGAGACATTCAGAGGTGGTTTGCCGTCAGAACCCTGGTATTCCTTGGAGGTCTCCCATCCAAATACTTGCCAGGGCTGAACCTGCTTAGCTTCCGAGATCTGATGAGCTCAGGCTTGCCTGGGCCGTCCAGGCCAGGGCTCATCCCTGTGGAGTGAATTCTTATCCCGTCATCTATCATCAGCTCAAACATGAGAAGACATAAAGGAACTTCACCTCATGTCTACAGGTAACAATATCAGCATTACGTTTTGCTTTGCTACTGATAATTTTGGTTAAAGTTGTTTTGCATGGTTACACAAACAAAAAATCCAGCTCGTAACAAGACCATGTCATGATCGCTTTTGCTATTCACTTCTCTAAACAAGTCTCACCAGTGCAAGGTGAACACCACGCCTTTTTTCCACCCAGAAGGGTGTGGGCAAAATCAGGACAGTGCAGGGGAGATCTTGGGATGAGATGTCTAATGCAGCTGGCAGCGATCCACAGGAAATATACAGTGTGGACAACAGCTCAGGTTCAACAACTTCCTTACTGAGGACAGCAAAGCCAGGGAGGGAAGCATAACCCAGGGAGATCTAGGTTCAGATCCCCTTTCTGATATTTATTGTTTAGTGTGGGGTGAGGGTTTGCAGTTTATGACTCCGGCTGCAAAAACTGCAAAGACGACAACAACTTTCTGATATGGTGCTCAGTGAGTGACCATTGGGCCAGTTTCTCTCACTCACTCACTCACTCACTCACTCACTCACTCACTCAAAACAACTTCACAGGATGGTTGTAGAGGCAAAATGGAGGATGGGAGAACCATATAGACCATCCAAGCTTCTTGGAGGAAAGTTGGGGTAACCGTGTGATAGAGAAATGTTTGAAAAATAGTAAAAAGTCCAGTAGCACCACACGTGCCCATTGAAGCGGAGGAGAAGCGAGGCTGTTTCCTCCAGAGGAATTTGACATGCAGCTGCAAGATCACACAGCCCTCTGAAGCTGCGGGCTCAGCCCGTCACTGTGTCTGTGTGGTCAGATGCCATTGTCTGTGGTAACGAGGATTCGCACCTCCACACTGAGGGCCTCCTATGGAGTATGCAATGATGTGCATACTTCGAAGGGGGGGGAAACAATGGCACAGAGTCGGATAAGATCATCCCTGCAAGGGGGGGGGACAATGGCACAGAGTCTTATAAGACCATCCTGATGGTTTGATCAGACCATCCCGATGGCATGAGAGTGTGCTTGAGCGATCAGACAGGGGAAAGTCCGTCCGTGGCCCACAGCAACCCGGTTACTACTGAACTTTCCTCGGTGTCTTTTAACTCCTCTTCCATGGCGGAGCAGCACGGGTTGCTGACGACTGCGGGACGCTTCCCAGATATTGCTGTCTGATCACTCCCTTTAGATCCTTCAGGCATTTTCACCTTTGTTGGATCTAAAGGTGCGTTTGATCGCAGCCTAAGGCTAACAAACTTTATTGTAGCATAAGCCTTCAAGAAACACAGCTCTCTTTGTCAGATGCTACTGGGCTTTGTACTATTTTGCAGCCACACTAACATGGCTAACTCCTCTAGAAATGCATGAGGATCTCAGATAACTGTATGTAAGCCTGTGCTGAACAGTCACTATATCTGCTATTCGCTTTGAAATTATCCCATGCAGCGGTTGTAGAAAATACTCACCTCGCCAAGCACCCACAATGTCCCTACGGTATTCAGTGCACACTTGTTCTCTTGGCTGCTGCTTCTCTTGGCCCACCATTTTGGACCATATAATTTGGTTCAGAGGCATTCATGACACACCCACCCACCTTTTATTTAATCAGGGCTTCCTCTCTCCAGAAGCAAAATCATATTGGTTACTTAGAGATGAAGACAAACAAACTACCCTGCGGGTGGCAACATTTCTAGGAGCTGTCAAATCACATGGCAACTTTTACAGTAGCAACCTTTAAATTCTTCCACGTTTCCCTGTGGAACGAGGTTTATTGTGGGATGAGGGTTTGCTGTTTAGGACTCCGGTTGCAAAAACAGTAAAGACAATAAATGAACCACTTGGTGGGTACCAGGAAAAGTGAACATCATTGTACCTGAGGAAGCACTGCTGACATCTTTCCTTATATATAAAAGCCAGTTGAGGTGGCTTCTGTCCAATGGGGTGGCAGGATTAATGCGTGGCAAAATCACTTTGCCCGCTCATCTGCCACTTACCCCGACTCCTTATCCATTGGCTGCCTTGCCTTGCACTGTTGTGCAGTTCCGCCCACAGACCTGCCAGCCACCATGGTGGCCTCACTATCCAGGAAGCCATCTTGGCCCACACACGGCTGGAATGGGCGGCAAGCAGCCGTCCCTCACTTGCCACTGCTCTACCACTACGTGCGCCGCTCACTTGCTTGGCCGGCCGGTAGGGAGAGTGGCGAGGCCGCCTGCCTTGGCATGCCAGGCCCTCGATTGGGGACCCCCCAGCTTGGCTCCAAGCCCCCCCACCTCACCACCCGGCCTATGCCCGCATGAGTTCCGCCACCCTACAAGGTGCTCCAGCTGGGCCAACGCTGCCACCGCCCAGCCGGCCACGGACGCTATGCCGACCCCTTTCCCCGCCCCTTGAGCAGGTGCCCTTGCCACCTGCCCGCCACCACAGGCCCGGCCCTCATTCCTCTTGCGGGCGGCCTGCAGCCGAGCCATCACACAGGGAGGAGGGCCCTCCCATCGCCGACAGTCCTCCTGCCAGCCCAGTGAGCCAGCGACTGCCACCGGCCTGCCAGGCCGCTCACCAGATGAGTCGGCCTGGAGGGCGCTGCCCGTGCCGAGACACCTCCGCGGCCCGTGCTGCCGCCCCTGCTTCTAGCGTCCATTGTCTGCGTCCCACAATGGGCCTTGCTCCTAGTCTTTTATAAAGCCATGTACACGGGAGTGGCCAGAAGGGTTACACTGCAGTGAGAGCAAACAGGGCCCAGGGCAGTGAAGGCAAAGGAAAAACGGCACAGAGAAGAAGCAGCAATCTGGGGAAAGGCTCCTAACTGCACAGCAAGTGCAAACAAGTGTTGCCAAAAGTGCCCAAAGAGAAGATGCTTTTTGACACTAATCGATGCAGTGCGTAGTATTAGTTAAGTAGTGAGGAAAAAGGTTTGCACCTAGCTGCATGCTACTCTTTAACAAGCACAACTTTATGATCACACTGGAGTTTATTTCTGATTTCAACTTGTGTCCTGATTTCAACAAGTGTTGCCAAAAGTGCCCAAAGAGAAGATGCTTTTTGACACTAATCGATGCAGTGCGTAGTATTAGTTAAGCAGTGAGGAAAAAGGTTTACACCTAGCTGCATGCTACTCTTTAACAAGCACAACTTCATGATCACACTGGAGTTTATTTCTGATTTCAACTTGTGTCCTACTAGGATCAGGCACCACAATCAACAAAAGACTGGCTGGGAGTAGTAACTGAGAGGGACAAAACAATATGGAACTCCCTGCCACTTACAGAGAAGGTGAGTGAGCCACGCAGGTTGGTCGTGATGGACAATGGCCACGCAAGCAGTATTGAGGGCCACAATGCTCAGGACGAGCCAGTAGAACACCTGGGATTTCACCATGTGACGAACAGAGATGCGCAGGAGCCGCTCCTTGTGCCGGAAGTAGGAGGCGCCGTCCAATTTAGCACTCTTGATGCTGGCCCGAGCGAGTGGGGTACCTGCGGCAGAATGAGGGGAAAAGGCAGGAGATGCTGGAAGAGACTGATGCACGATGAACGCATGAAGCTACCTTATACTGAATCAGACCACTGCTCTATCAAGGTCAGTACTGTCTGCTCAGCCTGGCACAGGTTCTCCTAGATCTCTTTTCCACCACTACCTGATCCATATATATATTTAAGTGGAGATGCTGCAGACTGAACCTGGGACCGTCTGCATGCCAAGCAGATTCTCTGCCACTGAGCCACAGTCCCTCCATTCTGTGAAGGCCAAGCTGGAGAAGAAAAGGATTTGTCAGCAAGCTGCCAAAAGGTTTATAGGGGTCTGAGGTATATGGTCACCCCTAGGTTCCCCCCCCTTCACCCCTTCCATATGCGCTTGGCCTTTCATGCGCATGTCCCCTTTAGCTCCCAGCTCTACATTCCTTTTTAGGTACGCAAGTCCTGCTTTGCTACTCAAGGCCAGAGGTGGAGAGGCGAGGAGCTTCGCTATGTTTTAATTAGGGGAAGCCGTGGGAATGGTTTTCTTGTTTATTGTTAAGGAACTGTTGCATCTCACGGTTTAGGCGCGAGCGGCACCGATGAGCCGTGCGCGCGGGAACCCTGATTATTGGCTGATGTGATTATGAATTTGCTTTAAACTTCCATGCCCCTTGGATTCATGTTATTCCTAACACTGCTCTTGTACATGTGCTTCATGGCTTCAATAAACGTATAACCTTCTAGTAAGAGTGTACTTCGTTGCAGTCGTGGGGACCTGACAGGATTGAGCCAAGGTCTTTCTTACCTAGGTGTTTGTGCACCCAGCAGAAGACAGGAATGCAGCTGAATAAGATGCAGAGCTCAGCTGACTCTGTATTATGCTGTGCTGTCCTGGGGACACTGGCTGCTCCCTTAGCTACTGCACACATGTGCGTGTGCATATGAAGCTTCTCCAACAAACAAGGACGGAACTAGGATTTTTAGAGCCCAGATCTCTTCTCATCGCAGTGGGCTTAACACTATTTGAAATATTTACAAACCCGCCTTTCTCCCAGGGAAATGGGACCCAAGGCAGGTAGCAGATTAAAACCCACATAAATCACAGAAAGTTTAACATGGCAGAACTGCTAAAGCTGCTAGCAGGAACCTTGTAAATATTAATATCTCTAAGAGACCCCTACCCTGTAAGAGCCAGTAAATGCCAGAAGCCACTGAGAAGCTCCGAAGGCTCTCTTTGAAAATTCCATCTTATGGCCCTTGTAAGATTGCAAAAGAGATGGGACTTTCCTAACGTCTTCTGGAAGTCCCACTGGAGCTTCCTGTGATCTCCTACCTTCCCCTGCATGTGTGCAGGCATCTCCTATAGTTTTATTTATCATTACTCCTCTTAACCAATCCTGAAAGCTCAGCTTGAATAACAATGAGTACTGGAGTTGTTAGATAAATGCAACTCAAAATCTTTGATCTCTTGTAATTTGTGGCTTATAGAGGTTAGCCTATCAATAACGGACTGCTGTACATCATCTGAGAGGTTTCCAAAAGAAGAGAGAATGTCTTCTTCCAGGTTCTTTGTTGAAGGATCTGAGGCCAAAAAATTATTAAAGTCCAGAACAAATGGACAATCCTGGCTGCTGGTCTGTGCGGAAAGAAGTTTGGGGTCAGAATAAACATTTGATACGTGGGAACTCGATTCCTCCCAGGAGATTAAGTTAGGTTGAGTATCCATGGGAGCACCAGATTGAGAGGAAAACATGGTCACTGACTTGGCCTGGCTCTTACTACATAAGGGAGTAACCATAAAACTGTGAAACACACGGGTGGCAAAGATTCCCATTTTGCAGAGATCCAGTTTCCTCTTTAAAAACAGAGTTGGAAATGTATGCGATGCAAAGGAAAGAACAATTCTTTGGAACTGGTATTGAGCGGTGAGGACTTCAGCTTCATGGAGGTCAATCTCTGAATATTTAAATTTGAGTACAGCCGAGAGGTGCCTCATGGGGAACACTTAGCCAGCCATATCCCCCTTGGATTGTTAAGGCAATATTCTTAGGTTGCTAAACAAGATGGGATGAATTTTTGTTTGAGGCTTCGTAGATGCCCGCATTACCTGCGTAAGATTCACTGCGAGCATGTGTATTACCGTGCTGGCAAGTAGCAGCCTCTGGAGATTTAATTTGACCATAATGGTCGCAGGGAGATAATTTAGCCACCGCAGCAGTTAACAATTTAGTTTGAGCTTTTAAATCTTGAATGCTGCCAAACAGACAATCCACAGTTCTTGCAATTAGAGGTAGTAGAGAGTTCATTGAAGGTAATCCACTCATCTCTGGGGTGGAATCTGTATCTGTTGGCCTGGCTCGTTCCTCCAAGTCAAGATCTTCAGATAAAACATGTGCATTCCCCTCATCATCTCCACAGCCGGACTCGAATAGAGAGAAACGGTTTGATGTCTCCACTGCAAAAGTAGGTGTACCATTCTTATTTGAGTTATTGTCAACACCCTCAGAGCCACAGAAGAAGTCACACATTTTAAACTGTTTTGAAGCTGGCAATAAACAGTTTTCCTCTTGTCCTCTCCCATGTTTGCCAGACGGCATAGCATAGGCCAATTAAGGTGGGGCTTACCCCAATTAAAAAAGTTTAAACAGCTTCCTCAAAAACAGTTACTTGGTTCCGATCAAAACACTCAGCCTCTGCTTCCCTCCCGAACAAAGGAGAATTGTTTATCCTCTTGAAGGAGGGAGAGTCAATTATATTCTTCAGAGGCTATTTGAGAAAAATTTAAAAGGCAAGATAGAAGCTAGATGCTGAGCAGGAAGAGAGCAAATTGGTTTCATGGCTAACCACTCCACCCTAGAGCTCTGTACTACCTGAGCCTTTTTAGCTGAGAAGTATTCCTGCCACTTAGGTGGTAAGCTATACTCAGCTTTTATTGATCTACGTAAAGCCTTTCATTCAGTTAATAGATCTTTGTTGTGGGACAAACTCTATAATTTGGGATTGGATCAACGTCTTCTGTTTTTGATTCGTAAATTGCATTCGGCTAACTATTGCCAGGTCCCTTACTCAGAGAATTTCTGTAACTAAGGGGGTCAAGCAAGGATGTGTACTTGCCCCTCCCCTTTTCAACCTTTTCATTTCTGATCTTCCACTGTGCCTAGCTAAAATTGATGGCCATTCCCCCAAACTAAACTCTTCTGCAGTTCCTATTTTACTCTATGCAGATGATGCGGTCATTTCTAGAATGAGCCACATTTGGGACCTACTTCACTACACAGTTTCCAGGGATACAACTGCACTCCACTACAACTGCACTCCACAAAGCTGCTTTGCCTCCCAACCAACAGCTGTCAGAATGTGCTACTTCTTTCTTTTGCCCTTGAACTACTTAATGCCAACCTGCCCAACTGCTACCCTGTTTCCCCGAAAATAAGACCTACCCCCAAAATAAGCCCTAGCAGGATTTCTATGCATTTGTGGTATAAGCCCTAGTGTGTCTTCTTGAGAAAAAATAGATATAAGACAGTGTCTTATTTTTGGGGAAACACGGTACTTAGGAGTTTTGTTTCATTACAACCTAAGTTGGTGCCCTCATAGAGATCATTCCCTTAGTTTAGCTAGGAATAAGACTGCAGCTTAAATCCGTTTTTTTTTATTTAAAAGGTAATCAATTTGTTCCGGCAGCTCTCCAGATTTTTCAGGCGTCTGTTATTTCCCGTCTACTGTATGGGATACCTATATGGATTCAAAATTTTAATAAAAGAATAGAACTAATAAGTTCTACCTTCTTTCGCAGGATTCTAGGTTTTCCTAACTCCATTTCCTATTTTTCCCTCTGTGCGGAGCTAGGTTTTCATCTTATTGAATCACGGGCGTGGATCACCACTATCAAATACTGGTTAGATCTGCACTTTAGTTCCCCTCCCAACAGTCTTATTGTTCAACTTCTTGCAGATCCATATATTTCCACCTGGTCACAAACCATAGTGCATAAAATCAAAACTATGGGAATTGACTTGGATTCTCTGTATAACTGCGGCGAAACCTCTATGGCTTTGTACATCTCTAATCTAACAATTCCACTTTATCGGCGGGTTTTCATGCTAGCGAGATTTAATCTCTTTCCTTCGGCTGTTGTTTCAGGCAGATATAGGGGTATCCCCTATAGGGATAGAACTTGCAATTGTCTCTATAGTGAACCTGATTCAGTTGCTTATATCCTTCTACGCTGTTCCCAATATTCTACCATGCACAGCTATTTGATCAGTCCCCACTTACCTTCCACAAGGAATTCGACTGACAATGATCTTAAAATTCTATTGTCTGATAAGTTCTCGGCAATTACCCTGTCTGTTTCTGAATTCTTAGCTTATGTTTGGAAGCTAAGGGTAAGGGCGCATAAGTCTTAATCCCCCTTGTGCTCATTTGGATAGTTATATTTTTTAACTGAGTTCACTATTCTTGAGAAGTTTAAAAATGACCCCCTGTTCGTGTAACTTGTCTATGATCTATTAATTTGTTCTATTAATTTATTTGTTCCCTTGCCTTCCTTATTGTTCCTGTGTTATGCCAATAAAGGTCTATGTATATGTATATGTATGTATGAGTACTGTAAAGCAGAGAACAGTGAGCTCCATAAAACCATCACTCAAACTTGGAAGCTAAAAAACCCACAAAATTTATCACTGCCAAATCGGCTAATCCTTTTCTGTTGGACTAAAACTAGCCAGAGGCACAGGTGTGAACACGCTCTATATCTTTCCTCTATGCACCTATGCTGAGAATGGCTTGATGCAGAGAAGGGGTTTTGTTTTTGTTTTTTAATTCTCCAAGTTTGGGATCTATACTGCCCAACACTTCACATAACATTTCTAAAAACTGAAAGAGCAATTGTTTGTTCTTTGTGCTAATTGGAAAATGGTGCACACTGGAAGAGTGTCGCCTCCCTTGAAGGAAGACACATTCAGTCTCAGGGTAACAGAACAATAAATGTTCATTCCACTCTCCACCTGAAGGCAGGGAGACGAGAAACCTATAGAGGAACTTCCCCCCCAATGCACAGAAGTTCCAGTGTAGCTTAGAAGCCGGAATGTCCCCAGCCCCACAACCTGGAACTGCCGAAATCCTCTCCTCTGCTGAAATCCATCTCAAATACTGGAGAGACAGGGCCCCACAGTGGGTTCAGTTTCAGACGGCTCTATTCTAACCATCCCACCTCAGCCTCCAAACAGCTGGCCAGATCCGGTTGGCCATCCATTAACAGATATGGCTGGGTGTCATCTGCATATTGATGACTCCGTGGCCCCAACTCCTCCTGACTAACCGGGAGACAGGGTGCGCATGTCACCAGGGGAGGACTCCCTGCCCCCAGGCTGAATGTCTTGTCTGACAGCTGCTGGGAAACAGGCTTGTTGCTCCTCCCACAAGCTCACAAGCATCTGAAGGATGGCCATAAAGAGAAAAGCATTACAGCGGCACCAGTGGCCCTTGGACTGCGCAGCACCCTCCCCATTCCTAGAACCCTGGGGAGCTGCCCCTTGTGCCCACTTGGGAAGGCCAGTTCTGCCAGCTCTGATTCCATCACTTGAACAATGCTGCTTTTCATGCTTTCTCCGTGTTTGTTTGTTTGTTTGGCAAAGCTGCCCTTTTGCATTGTGGACCAGAAGGACGAGGCAGGTCTCCACTGCCTGGGGAAGAACTGGGTCCAGAGCAAGAGCCCCACAGGCCGCATCTTACCCACAGAGGAGATATCCACGCGCTCGTCACTAGAGTCTCGATTCATGGCTTCTGTCCGGCTCCTCTTGATGGTGGCCCTCCTAAGTACTGGGGAGGAAGGAAACAGGGGAAAGGTCACAGTCTGCCATCCTCCTGCCATGCAGTTTGCTAACCCTATATCTGATAGAGATGGATGGCCACACCATGGGGAGCAAAAACATGTGCACAAGCACAAGAGCCAAAGAAAGGCCATTAAAACTAATTTAAATCTTCAGTATAGGTATGCCCAGAGTTTTCCAAAAACCATAGCATAGCTTCTGTCAATCTTAGGCCCACAGTCTTGGCAGTGGACTGGACCCAGACTTCATGAGGGTTTTCTTACCTTCTAAGGCTGATGTGCCAGAGTTTTTGTTCTCTTCAGCCAGCATGACTTCCTCTGCGTAAAGATGCATAAAGATAAACAGTTCAGGCATAGGGTCATCAAAAGCTGAGTGCAGCAGTTTATAACTTTTAATCCCTTGTTGCCCACCAAGCAGAGGTCATTTCGGGGGGGATCGCGGAAGATCGCAGTTCCCCCGGGTGAGGTACGGGGGCGGGGCACATGACAAAGCCCCGCCCCCTGCTTCCGGCCACCCCGCTTCTGGCCCTCATTCAGCCAGGAGGAGGCAGGAGAAGAGGGAGGGTAAGTTGCTTCCTCCCCGCCTCTCCCCACCCCTGCCTGCCTGGGGCCAGGGAGGGCCTTCGCGGGGCTTCCTTGCACTCCCGCCGGCGGCCTTATGACACAAATCCGGTGATGTCAGGGGGTGTGGCCTTATGACACACTTCCGGTGATGTCAGGGGGTGTGGCATATGCTAATGAGGTATGCTAATGAGTTCCCCTAGCTCTTTTTCTACGAAACGACCCCTGCCACCAAGTATGTCATATTTTCATCAAAATGTCCCCTAAACCATAAGAAAAGAATGCGGACATAAAAACAGCACTCCGGACAAGGCAACTTTATTTATACAGGCATATTTATAATACTCCTTTATCCTTGACAGATTAAACACCTTCCTGTCTGCAGAGTTAATGGGGCATTTTGCAACTATTCCATTCTCTGACTAGCTATGTAACTGTACATCTGGAATGATTGAGACATTGGATCATCTGTTAATATTCTACCCTCACTGGTTAACACCCCGGTCCATTTGGATTTACCCAATTTTGCTTAAATACCACCTACCTATGGAATCTTGGGTGATATATTCGGTTCTGATTGTAATCGACTTTGACTCTTGGATTTTATTGTAGCTTGTAATTATACAAACTATAGTTATATTATATAAATTATCTCTCCTTATTTATAATTGGATAGTGGGGTGGCACTTTCTGAACATTCCACACGCCCCTAAATCAGTTGGCTCCCTGATGTGTCACTAAGAATTTGTCCCTATCCACTGGCTGCGTTGCCTGAGTGCGTTGCCACAGAAGCGGTGCCCGCCAAAACTTTCCTCAGAAGACGCTTACTTTGCTCTGGTGAATATAGCTACTGTCTTCGCTCTCCTCACCAGACAACGATTGATTCCCTCAGTGGACAAAACTTACCATGTTTAGCCTCCAAGCCAAGTTTGCTGAGGCAACACTTTCCACAACAGAAAAAAACCGCCAAGGAAAAAGGTTGCATACAAGGGGGGGGGGGGGGGGGAGCCAGCCCAAGTTATCACAAAAAAAGCCACTGGATACACACACAAGCAGAGATAGAGGATGGGACCAGACACACAGAAAACAGGAAGCCAAAAACCAGAGGCATGCTGCAAAGCACAAATACAGACACAGGCACAGGCAGATCTACGCTTGCTGACTGCCGAATTGCAGAAATTACTCCACAGAGCCCTGTGTGCTGCATTTTCTGGCCCACATTGTGTGACCTTGGACACCAGTTATTGTGTAACATAAGGTATGTGAGACTTTACTTCCACATTTGTGCCTTTCTATTACATACTGCTAATATGTAGTTAACCTGCTTCCAGCCGATGCATTCATTACATATCACCCCTTTCTAGAGCTCGTTGTATTGCTTTTACAATGAGCTTTATATAAATATAATATAATATTATAAATAAATAAATAATAAATACAGGGTCTATCCCATCGTGTTCTGTTTATAAGTACTTATTGATTATATTAATCTGCTCAAATTTTAAGCTCTTTTAAATTTATGAATTTATGATCCTAGGGATGTGGTAACCCTTGTGTACTCCGCTATGCAATTTGATCTGTTTTGGTTTTAGTTTTATGTAAATATTTGTTTTAAATGTTTCCACTAAGCTTAAGACCATTGACCAAACGAACTAACTAAATAAAGTAATATATATGTTCTGATACTCAGAACTCAGGCATACATTCAGTGAGACCCCTGTGCCCAATGGCCATCGGTTATCTCCTTGGTGTTAAGTCAGATCCTTATTTGCAGTGTGCAGTGCAACCTTTTAAGTTTTTGTGTGTGGGGAGAGAAACCTGGGTCTGGGGTTTTATCCTCACCCCTGGGGGAGCAGTCTACCACAGCTCTCCTCTGCTAGCTGTCTGGAGCCACCGTAAACGGGAAGAAAGGACTGCCTACAACCTGAAAACAGCCCTCTGTGGGGGCTGTATAGCTACTGTAAAGAATCACGTGTCTACATCACCAGCAAGGAAGACACCAGATGAAGCAGAAGGCTTAAGGTGAGTCTGAAGACAACCTCGTAGCAAAAGGGAGCAGGTTCCAGTATAAGAGAGAAGCAGGCGGTAACGCACACAGGGTGGCCAAGCTTCCAGATTTGACCTAAAAGTTGGCTTTAAAAGGGAGTTGGATTCATGGAGGAGACATCCATCAGTGGCTACCAGACACTGGGAGTAAAGAGAGCCAGTTTGGTGTAGTGGTTAGGTGCGTGGACTCTAATCTGGGAGAACCGGGTTGGATTCCCCACTCCTCCACTCTGAGACACCTTTGGGTAGTGAAGGGTGGGGTATAAATCCAATCTCTTCTTTTTCTTCTGCTTCCATATATAGAGGCAGTAAGCCTCTGAATACCAGTAACCAGAAGGCAGCAACAGGGGAAAGCCCTGGCCTTTGTGCCCTGTTTGTTTGCCCCACTGGTTGACTGCTTTACAGAACAGGATTCTGGACCAGATGGACCACTGGTCTAATCCAGGAGGCTCGCCTTATGCTCTTACGAAGCTGCAAGGTTTCTGGCTCCTTTTCATGGTCTCCTGCCTATGGACTGAAATCTTAGGGTGAAGAGACAGGATCAAGGGAAAAGTTCATTTCCTACCTGGCTCGAGTGCTGGCGCTCCCACCCGTCAGGCTCCATCCCCATTCCTGGGATGGCCACGTGAAGCCTGAGGAAGAGTGGCCTGTCCGTGGCCACTTCGGCTGGCAAAAGGGGCAAGGGAGGGGAGCCGGTGGCCCCTCTTTCCCTGGGCAGTGCGTGGAGCTGTGCAAAGCAACTGAGAAGCTTTTAAAGAGGAGTCCCCATGGGGGAGGGGGGGGCGTGTGTGTGTGTGTTAAAGCTTCCCTCTCTCCCCATGCGGCAATCCCAGAGGCTGCATTTAGAGAAGGAAACAGTCCTGATCCTAAACACAGAATCACAGAATCACACGGAGCTGGGAGGGGCCCGACAGGCCTTCCAGTCCAACCTCCTGCTCAAGGCAGGATCCGCCTAGAGCATCCCTGACGAGGGTTTCTCCAGCCGCTGCTTAAGTAGTCGTACTAGAATTTATTGTAAGGTAAAGGCAAAGGTTCCCTTGCTCGAAAGCCAGTCGAGTCCGACTCTAGGGTTGCGGTGCTCATCTCCGTTTCAAAGCCGAAGAGCCAGCGCTGTCTGAAGACATTTCCGTGGTCATGTGGCCGGCATGACTAAACACCAAGGCGCACGGAACGCTGTTACCTTCCCACCGAAGCGGTCCCTATTTATCTACTTGCAATTTCTTGCTTTAGAACTGGTTGGTTGGCAGGAGCTGGAACTAGAGACGGGAGCTCACTCCGTCATGCGGCACACTCGGGTCTCCAACTGCTGAACTACCGACCTTCCACAGCCTGCAGTTCAGCGTCTTAACCACTTGAGCCACCACAGCTCTAGAATTTATTGTAGCCGCTGGTTAAAGTCTGCCAGTGAGAAGGGGGAACTCACCACCTCCCTCGGCAGCTTCCACTGTGGCAGAACTCTGACTGTAAAGAAGTTTTTCCTAAGATCCAGCCAGCAACTTCCCGCCCTTAATTTAAACCCATGATTGCGAGTCCCCTCCTCTGCTGCCAACAGGAACAGCTCCCGGCCCTCCTCAAAGTGACAGACCTTCAAACACTTAAAGGTCCTTTCCACACTAGACCGTAAATCCTGGCTCAACCCTGTCCCCGAACTTACATTCTACACTACACGCGAGTTCACCCCTGTAATCATCTCGGGGTATTTTTTGTTTCCACATTACACTGAGGTCACCCCGGTTTTGCCCCACACTTGTCCCGGGATAAATGGATGCTGTTATAACCAGGGTATCTTGTGACCCAAGTTGAACTCTGATAAAACCAGGAAGTGTGGAAAGGACCAGAGAGAGCAATCGTGTCCCCCCCTCAACCTCCTCTTCTCCAGACTAAACATTCCCAAGTCCCCCAGCCTTTCCTCCTAGGGCCTGGTCTTCAGGAAAAGGTAATCTGTGGAATAGACTAGGGAGATCTGATTTCCATTCCTCCCTTTGTTATGAAACTCGCTGGGTGATCTTATCAGCCTAACATAAATCTCAGAGCCATTACAAGGCCAGTATGGAGTGACGGCCTGGGCAAGGATAAAATATGTTGACACCATTGCCAAGGGAAGGGATCGGCAGGACCTGACTCAATATGTTTCCTGTGATGCCCTCATCCAGACCCATCTTACCTGCTTTATCTATCCAGGCACGGTACCCATTCAGCTCCCGCTCGATCTGCTGCTGCCTCCTCAGCTTCATGAATGCCCGGCGGTTCTCCACCCGTTCTCTCTCTTTGGCAAATTCCCTGAAAGTGTGAAATAACAAAACCTGGTTGGAGGAGGTTTCTTCGGCACTCCATTTTGTACCACTACAGGACAGCCATAGTGGAGGGTGGAAAGTGCTGTATTAGCACCTAGCAGGACGGCACTGAAGGCAGCAGGAAAAAAGGAAGACCCAAAAGGAGAGGGATGGACTCTGTAAAGGAAGCCACAAGGGCCCCTCCCCCTTTGCGACACCTGAGGAAGGCTGTCAGTGATGGGACGTTCTGGAGGTCATTTACTCATAGGGTTGCCGTAAGTCAACAGCGACCTGACAGCACTTCTCTCTCTCTCTCTCTCTCTCTCTCTCTCTCTCTCTCTCTCTAACACACACACACACACACACACACACACACACACACACACACACAGAGGACAGTGCTGGCAGTCATGCCGGAGAGAAATGCTATTAATTCAGGAACGAGGACGGTTGAGAGGGATCACCAAGGCCTCTGAGTTCAGAGAAGGAAAGGGGCATGCCACATTCTTACTATTAGCCATTCCTGATCTTTGTGTTTGTGCATGTGTGTGTGTAAAAGCAATGGTATTCCCAGTAGTCAAGTATGGCTGCGAGAGTTGGACTATAAGGAAGGCCGAGCGCGGAAGAATAGATTCTTTTGAACTATGGTGCTGGAGAAGACTCTCGAGAGTCCCTTGGACTGCAAGGAGATCAAATCAGTCAATCCTAAAAGAAATCAACCCTGACTGTTCCCTGGAAGGCCAGGTAATGAAACTGAAGCTCAGATACTTTGGCCACCAAATGAGAAGGAAGCACTCACTGGAGAAGAAGACCCTGATGCTGGGAAAGATTGAAGGTCAAAGAAGACGGGGACGGCAAAGGATGAGATGGTTAGACAGTGTCATAGATGCAACGAACATGAAATTGAGCAAACTTCAGAGGACGGCGGAAGACTGGAAGGCCTGGCGGGAGCTGGTCCATGGGGGCGCGAAGAGTCGGACTCGACTGTGCGACTGAACAACAACAACATGTGTTTGTGTAGGTGCATACAATGGGCTCAGTAGGTGCATACTGCAACTGTAATCTTCCTCTGCGCCCAACCCAACCTTCCTAAAAACATCCTTGGGAATCACATGCCAAATGCAAAGTAAGACATAACCCAGACCTCCAAGAGCAGTTCAAGAAAAGGACTCCTGAAAATCCCCTAGGCAGTGGAGTTCACAGGACTCCCGAGGGCTACCATACGGCCGCCAGCAAAGATTCCTGCTCAGCCCCCCTCATCCCATCCAGGTCCAACCTAGACATTGTATGAAAACAAATCACGTGACTTGTCCAGCTCCACAGACCCCCCCAGAGGGACTGCTCCAGTGTTCCCTCTAAGCTGAGTTGGTGTGAGCTAGCTCTCAGTTTTTTAGCCTCTGGCTCACACATTTTTGTCTTGGCTCAGGGAGAATGGCTTCAGAGCAAAGTAATTTATGCAGCAGCCAAACCGCTCGCTCACCACTTTAATGCCAGTAGCTCACCAAGTAGAATTTTTGCTCACAGGACTCCACCGCTGAGAGGGAGCGTTGCACTTTTGTCCCACTAGCCCCCCCCCCATAACCCTCTGGGCTGAGAGGCCTCCAGTGTGGACCTGCCCCTGCAGCACCTTCAGTGGGCTGTACAGAGACTGATTTTGCAAACGTGCCACAGATGAGGAGCACAAAACAGAGACTGCCTCCCTTGGTGGGGGCAGATGCTTCCCTCTCTTATCTCTCAACAGCCTTTGCAAACCTTTGCTTTCCATGGACAACTTTAAAGGGTGCAGCTGACGTCATGCCGCCTGGGGGGGGAGACAGAGTGACGACACGTGCTGGGGCCCGGAGAGAGCACCTGCTGCCCTGGGCCTGGCCCACGCAGGCACGCTCGCCTTTCCTCCGAGGCAGAAGCGGGAGCAGGGGCGGGGGTTGGGAGAGCCAGGTTGTGTCCCCTGGCCACAGGGGCTTGCTTCTGACCCGCCCCCTCCTCCCGTGGCCGCATCTCCTCCGTCCTCCCCCTCCCCAGGACTGCTGCAGCAAAGGGCTGACTCAAAGACCGGTGTAGGATTTGGGCTGCCTTCGAGAAGAGGGCAGATTGTGTGTCTGTTCCCAAGCCCCGCCACCCCTCCACACTCCAGGTTTCTAAGAGGGCGGGGGGAACCAATCCAGGAACACGTGGAGCTGTATGGCCATTCAGTGTCTGATTGGGACATTTGGAACTCTCGGAGTTAGCAAAAGATCGCCGGGAAACAGGAGCGCTGGGAGGGTTTTTTAAAAATTCATTGGCATTTTTCTTTTCTTTTTTGGTATTGTAGTGTTAGTTTTATACACAGCGCCCGGGCAGAAGATGTGCCGTCAGCCCTCACAGGGAGATGGGGCGGCGGCAAGGCACCTTCTTCCTCGGTCACCGCTGGGAAAAGGAAGAGGAGAGCCAGGAAAAGGAAGGGCAGCAAAAGTGAAACTGACTTTTCCCAGCTTTCCTCTTCCTTTTCCCAGCGGTGGCTGAGAAAGAAGGCGCCTTGCCGCCACCCCCCGTCCCTCCGTGAGGGCTGACGGTGCGTCTCTCTGCCTAGCGTCTCTCTGCCGAGCAGCAGGAAAAGCTAGGGAAAAGGAAGGCTGCTCACACAGGGCGGTGGGGGAGGCTCCTCCTGCTGCTGCTGCTGGTGCCATGGCGGCGCCTGGCTTCATGGTGGCCAAGACAACCCCTGTGGGTAATTCAGAGGGCTGGCCGCTTTGGCCACCCTGTGGCCTAACCTGAGCTTCTCTCTTGCCTCTCCAGTTGGGGCTTCATTCTCCACTCCTTCACTGTGTGCCAACTCTCACTAGGCGAAAGGTTTTCATCTCTGTCTTGCTCACACAAACGTATGCACACATTACAAGTTGAAGAGTTGCTGATGAGGTGGGGGCGTGGATGCATTATTCAAAGGAAATCGGGGTGTTTTTTTGCTGCAGCCTTGCTGCAGAGTCACAAGATGTGCTGAAGGTGGGGAAGGGTGGGCTGAAGGGAAGGCAGGAGAGAGAGAGAGACAGAGACAGGGAGTATAGGAGCATAATCAAGGTCCTGCCAGCAACACCTCAGGCTCCTTTACTAATCACTGTCCCCAAGAGAAGGAAGTTCCACGGAGGCCACCAGTGTTCCCTCTAAGCTGAGTGTGAGCTAGCTCACAGTTTTTTAGCCTCTGGCTCACACATTTTTGTCTTAGCTCAGGAAGGATGTGGCTCCAGAGAAAACTAACTGATGCAGTAGCCAAATCTCTCGCTCACCACTTTAATGCCAGTAGCCCGCAAAGTAGAAGTTTTGCTCACAAGACTCCACAGCTTAGAGGGAGCATTGGAGCCCACACAACACCTCTGCCTTTCCCCCCACAGAAACAGGAGGGGAATGAAAAATAATCCTGAGACCCCCCAAATGAACATCTGGTTCTTGGCCTGCACAGCCCTGATGCCAACCACCTGTGACTCCTTCCAACAGGAATACTGAGCGATAGTCTTGTATCCTGTCACTCCGCTCAGTGCAGCCTCGAGTGCCTTCCTCTGATGGAAGTAGCTCTTCTTTCGGAAGAAAAGCCACTTAATTTAGAAGAAGGCTTCAAAGGTCGCTGAGTGGAGTGGTAGGACATAAGCCAGAGGGAAAAGGGGGTTATTACAGGCCACGTAGTCCAACCCCCTGTTCAGTGTAGGAAGAAAGCAGAGAGAGAGAGAGAGAGAGAGAGAGAGAGAGAGAGAGAGAGAGAGAGAGAGAGAGAGAGAGAGAGAGAGAGAGAGAGAGAGAGAGAGAGAGAGAGAGAGAGAGAGAGATTGGATTTATACCCCGCCCTTCATTTGGAGTCTCAGAGTGGCTTACAAACTCCTCTCCCTTCCCCTCCCCACAACAGACACCCTGTGAGGTGGGTGGGGCTGAGAGAGCTCTTGACAGGAACTGCTCTTTTTCAAGGACAGCTGTGCCAGAGCTTGTGACTCACCCAAGGTCACATCAGCAGGTGCAAGTGGAGGAGTGGGGAATCAAACCTGGTTCTCCCAGATTAGAGTCCGCACACTTAACCACTACACCAAACCGGCTCTCAAGCTAGAGGTGGCTTGTCCAGACCCTGCCTGAAGACTTCCAGCAAGGGAGAGCTCACCCATCCCCTCGGTTTCATTGTCAAACTGCTCTTACAGTTAGAAAGTTCCTCTTAATATCTGACCGCAATCCAGTCTTTCATAACTTAGTCCCAACTGATCTCATCTTGCCCTACGGAGCAGCAGGGGAGTCTTTACCCTGTGGCAGGTTGCTACAGAATCACATTTGCGATAGGATGGAATGGCCAGTTTAGAAAGATGAGCATTGAGAATCGAACAGCTGAGACCGGATGATGTGGAGCAGTTCTAGCCCAACTAGGATTCAGTGGTTGTGGACTTCGGATCAGTTTTTGGAGTGAGAGACTACTTGGAGCAAGGCACCAGGGTAATAAATATTCCCTGTTTCGTTTTAAATGGATCAAATAGCTTCTCTGTCCATTATGTGGCAGTGAACTAGGTTTGCGATCAAGGGTATACTTGAGAGACAGCTGTGGCCAACCCGCTCAAGTTGCAACCGACTTACGGGGCATTTCATACCAGTAAGAAGCAGAAGAGGTGGTTGGCCACGGCCTTCCTCTGCAGAGTCTTCCTTGGTGGTCTCCCATCCAAGTGCCAACTCTGCTTAGCTTCTGAGATCTGACAAGGTTGGGCTATATCATACCATTCCATATCCCCCTGCTTAGTGTACCTGCATGACACACGTTCTCCAAAATACATTTGCCCAGGGCTTTTTTTTTTTTTTGAAAAAGAGGTGCTGGAACTCTCAAGAGGGAAATGAAGTTTGCAGTCTGTATACTGAAGACTTTTAGACATTTTTAAAAGAATTTAGTTGAAGAGGTTCCGGGACTCTGTTCCAGCACGTTCCCCCCCAAAAAAAGCCTAGCATTTGTCTCATCTACACATTACGCTTTATGTGATGTACACCTTTAAAAGGCAATCTGTTGCTCTAACT